AAAGTACTGGTTTGGCACCGGTATCAGATAAAACCTAAACGGTACCCATCCCTAGACAGTAGAGGCTTTTTACAAGCATCTTCCAAATGAGCCATTCTTGAGTCTGTTACACCTTCTCTGAGTATTGTGTGGTCTGAAAAGTCAAACTAGTTTAATTGCTGTGACTGATTTTTTTAAATCATCAAAATACTTTTAACAAGCTCAAGGCATACACATAAATACAACATTCAGCTTAACTCAGCAAGGGATATTTTCATCTCTGGCTGATAAAAACAAGACTATAAATGTAATCACTCTGTCAAATAATCACATTAATATGTATTCTTTTATAATGAATGTGACCTTAGAAATCTTTGTACGGCGGTTGTGGGCAACAACTAATTGAGTTTATCCACAGAAAACAATGCACTTGTAAAGTGTAGGCCTGAGACGGGAAATGTTTCATCAACTACCAATGCATTATTAAAAAAGTGCTTGCACGTAAGATTTTTACTGTCACACTACACGGATGCCATGTTTTTGTTTGCAGTCACGTCGTCGCAGTTTTCTTTCTCGGTGTAGCTGCGGTACAATCCTCAAAGAGAGAGAGAGGAGGAAGAGGAGGAGAAGGGGATGGAAAAGGACGCAGAGTAGGCAGGAAGAAGAACGATGATAGAGAAGAATAAAAAGAGGGCGGGTGGGATAAACAGTTATCAGTCAGAAAACAGACTCTAATGCCCATTATTGTTGTGGCTGGTTCAGAGACACTGTTTGTGTGTTTGTGTATTGTAAAAATCTCCACCCGCATTGCTCTGCTGTTACACAGTGAGTGTCTCTATTTTCTTCTTTCACCTCCTCTTTCTCTGAGTCCTTAATCTCATTCTTTCCTTTCTTCTCCAGCAGTATTTTTTGTTTTTTCTCCCTTTGCAGTTATGTTTTTTCCTTCCTTTTCTCTTTTTCCTTTGCATCTCTGTACAGTTTTATCTTTATCCTCTTTTTCCATTGCCCCCTTTCTTTTTCTTACTTAACCACTCCTTTGATCTCCTTTTCTTTCCTTCTGTTTTCTTCTTGTTTGTGACTTTTCTTTACTGTCTACTCAAACCTGGTCTACTTCAGCTTTTTTCCATCCGCTTCCTCTTCATTATTTCGTTCCTCTTTTCTTCCCCTTTCTTTGTCTGCTGTTCCTGTCCAGTGTATTCCCTTCACCCTCTTCAAAATCTTCCACCTACCTTTCTCCTGCCTTCTCCCAAAACAAAATTTTAAAAAAATCTCCTCCTCTATGTAAGAGGCTTTTCTGTTCACAGTTACATAGGTCAGATGAAATTACATCATGAAACCTGTTTTGCAAAGAAGATCGCAGACAAAAAAAATCCTTTGGGTAAAAAAATATAATGAAATCAAGACAGCCAAAACAGCAGAATCAAAAGTAAGGCAGACAAAGAGTCCATCTGTCATGCTGGAAGCTAAGCCAGTTCCAGCACACACCACGTACCATCAGAAGTCTTGAGCATGACTGTCTTGCTGTATGGACCCACTCCAATGGAATTATAAGCTTTCACCCTTGCGTTGTAGGAACTGTTGAAATGAAGACCATCGACTGTACACACTGTTTCCTTCCCCACATATACCTCCTGGGGGCACACACAAACACGCACACACAGACACACACAAACTCAGCATCATTTGAAATGCAAGTTGAGGCAGTATATGCTCAAGGATTAGTGAAGAGGTCAAGACCTCTAGCACTTTTAATGCATGCTTGATGATGACTCATATACTTACACACATAAAGAGTATTATCTGTCCTTTGTCAGATATGAGCATCATATTGAGGACTAATAACTAAATAAGGAGAGCTACTGAACATCATTTTCTGAGTTTCAGACTAGATTAGTTATTTTCACAGTAGAGTTATTGCAGTGTTTCCCAAAAACAGAAATTTTTTGGGCAGGCTGCCCACGAATCTTTTTCAACCTTCAGAGAAAACAACGAGATTGAGAAACAAGTTCAAGTTGCTGCTGTGATGGTTCTTGGTGTCGTTCAGCTGTCTTTATTCTCTTGTCCTTGTCCAGAACCTTACTAGAGACAGAACTGCTTATTTTTTTATTATATATTTCCACAAAAAATATATGCATTTCTTTTGGGTGCACACATATGACCTGTGCCTCATTACTGCCACGATACAGAGTAATTCTGTGGGAAACACTATTAGTGTAAATCTTTTGTTTAACAAACAGTACTCACCCTGTACTGTCCTCCATTGCCATCATCCAGCTCCAGGATGTAGCCCTCGATGGGGTTGATGGTGGGCATAGTTACCCTCCAGGCCAGGGTGGCGCTGTTATTCCTTGTGCAGCACTTCTCCAGCTGCAGGAGAGGAGCTGGAGGCACTGAGGGTCTAGGCTCCACTGTGTAGAGAGATGGATGGATGCAATTTGAATTTTGCGATCAATGAATGAGAGGGATTGGGACAAAGAAGAGGTACAAGGAGGGAGACATGAAAGTGTGGAAGGATGAAGAGAGGAAGACATACAGGGATGCCGTCATCTGGCGGGTTGCCTTTAAACAGACTGAATGAAGAGAAAAAGGAGCTTTAATGACAATCTGGTGGGAGATTTAAAAAAGAGCCTTAAAGGTGAAAGAGCTCTGGGTTCATTTACAGGGTAACAGCTGGGAATTATTAAGGGCTTAAACTGGACCTAGTGAGGACTCTACATACACTTAAAGGGTAGTGTAGTGGTAGGGATGCACTGGGTTAGATTGATATGCGCTTTGAAGGCTGACTTGTAGTTTGATAGTAATAAATAAATCAGCAAAGGTGGTAAGAAAGTATGAGACATCGGCTCCCCACCAAAGGACAGACTGATGAAAGCAAAGCATCATTCCTGCATAAAATCTGCATAAAATCAGAGGAAAAGCATCATATCAGTCTAACTCTTGTACAAAAACAGGTGAAAAGCAAATTCCAAAAGGAGAAACAAACATACAAACAATAAAATAAGATAAGATTAAAAAAATCTTTCTTCACTGTTTCATTTACAGGAACTTATCTGATAAATATATAACAGTACGGAAAACACAGGGGAAGGCAGCAGTCATGGCGGACAGTATAGGAGATAATGCATGTTTTGTTGATATTCCATATTTGAATTTATGACTTATTACATGGAGATCAGCCACAACATCAAAATACAGATTATGTAAAGTAATTAATAACGGCCATCTCTTTACAATGCAATGTTCTGCTGTAGAAATCTGGTTTCATGTCATTTATGTGGATGTTATATTGACGCAGAACATTAACTTATCCTTCAAACTCCCCAGATACTGATGCAAACATGAATCTACAAGATGTACCAGAGATAGCCTGATCCACAGACGCCCCACCCGCAATTTCCAGCAGGCAAATGATCTGCTACCTGATCGAAGAGACCAAAGGACACCTGCAGAAGTCCCACATGTTGATGGATTGAAGCAGATTCTAATGTTGTGGCTGATCAGTCTATAGCTATCGAGCAAGACTGAATATGTGAAAACAAAATGATTAGAGGATCATGTTTACTGCACATTTCCTCAGTATATACTTACTCCCTATGATTTGTATTGCCACAGTTTAATTCATGCATAATTATATTTTAATATATGTGTCATTAGTAACATGTGAAACAAAATTATCGCAGGAAACAAAGATCTTTGTGCAGAACTGTTCAGCAGATCAGTGTCGTTTACTGTTGAAGAGCTGAAAAACAACATGCAAAGGGAAAACACCAGAGAAACACTGTGGGACAAAAAGACCAGTGAGTTTCCAACCAGAGAGCTATCGGGGCTAAGGAATGAGGCAGGAGTGACAAAATATATGCAAGGAAGGGAAACAGAGATTTACAGTGAAAAATAGAGTCTCTGAAATACCTCCTGGGCTCTCTGTCTCCATCTCAGCCTCACCACTGCCTGCTTCCTGCATTTGTTTCAATTTTGGATTCTCCTGTACATCTGGAAATATGATGTTGATTTACGTCAGTGTTCTCTAAAGAAGTAAAAAGGATGACCAGAAGTGTAGTGTATCAATCATACGCTTATTTGTCACAATGATATTAACTAAATGTCCGAAAATGATCATTGATAAACACAAAAATCGTTTGTCACGCCTAAACTTGAAGGTTTTGTTGTCCTTTTTGTGTTGCATTATTCTGTGTAGTATTTTGTAGTTTTAGGTAGTATTTGTGTAGTGATAAGACAAGAGATTGTGTTTTTAGGTAGCACTTTTAGAGCTAGGTAATAATTTGATAATTGTGCGGTAATAAGTTGGAAACAAGGCAATAATTTTATCATCACCATCATCACTACCCCAGTAATATCCAAGCAGTTATTTTGTATCATATATATATATATGTGTGTGTGTGTGTGTGTGTGTGCTACCTAAACACTGAAATACATTTTTTGCACGCAGCAATGAATTTTGTTCACTCAAATTTAGCTTTTCTTCGCGCGAAATAAATTTCTCCTCAAAATGCAACACTTGTACCTGCAAATTTTTGTTTACGTGCGCTCATTTTTTTTTTACGTGCGCTCAGAATAGCGGCACAAAAATAACGCCGTATGCTTGTTCTACGCTTTTTTATGCTGCATATTTTTTTACCATAGGTTCAAAGTTATATTCTTTCCAGTGCAGCTGAGCAGCTGCTGCTATATTATTATAAAAGTATAACAGTATATTCCTATTATCCAGTATTCAGCATTGTTTGAAGGTATCAATGCAAATTTTATGTTTAATATTGTGGCTTATTATAAGGACGTTTGGTAATGTTTCTACTACATTTTATAGTAATATTTGTCACAATTTAAAGCCTATGAAGTTCACTAGTTTGTTAATATGTAATTACAAAAATGTAAAAAGGTAGTTTTGTAGTTCTTAGCCCTGTTTCCTGGTTATCACACAGAAACTACTGCAAAATACATTAGAAGGTTACCTAGGCAACCAGAGCCAGGAATGTCGCGAGCAATCAGCTGTCAGCTTCAAAGAGATGAGTGAGGAACGAATCACTTTGCTCCAAAGCTATGCGTGGACGTAGCTTTAAAGCTGTGCATAATTAAAGATGTAACTGCTTTAAGTGACAGGCCTTGTAGAGTGTTTAATTTAATTAGTTTCATTTGGTACAAAGAATCAGCTGTTCTGTTTTTCCAGTAATTGCATTTTGCTTTGAGCTTGTTTAGCCACAAACTAGTATCCTATACAATTAATAGACAGTGAATTACAGTTCTGTGTTTCTAATCAAGCCCCCTACTGTTAACCTAAACTACTCAACTCAACCATCTCATGCAACTATTAGCATCTCGTTTTAAGAAACGTTGAGGTGAAGACAAGAAAAGAAAATGAAAGCTAAAAAAGATGCAGAGGAGGAATAACTAATGAATCTTTATGCCTGTGGAGGATGTTATGATGGCTATGTGCATCTTTTATTTACAGTATATGGGTTTAAACAAATGTAATATTTGAGTACAAACGTACCTTTTGTTGGTGCTCTGTATGTCAAAGATTAAAATTCAAATGCTTAAAATGAAATTGTCCGTTGTTAAAGTCCATACCAGATAATGGGTGAGAGAGAAGGGAACCATACAACTGAATTCCACATCCCCAGTCTTGGAGAAGAAAAGAGAGCTGATCAAAGCTTTCTGGCTTTCTAAGAAGTTTGAGTGGAGCTTAAATTGGAGAAAATCTATTTGAAGTAGAACTCAACTCAAGCCATGACCTGAAGACCCAGGACACATTTTTAAATTTAATTTAAGTTTTTGTTGTGTCTGTAAGAGCTAGTGTCCTTATTTTCTAGGAAGTTGACTTTGTTGGGGACAAAAAACGTTGCTGCAACTCATTGGAAGTGTCAGCCAAGATGAACCATAATATTACAAGAGTGCATAATCACAGTTATGATACTAAATATAAAATTTATTACACACAGAGCTTCACTGAATATAATTTCCTCATTGTGAAAATGAGTATTTTTCTTATGTTTTAATGGATTTTGTACTCTTAATAGCTGATAACAAAGACCGGTCAGCATTATTTGCTTTTCTAGCAAAGTAACCAGGTTGAATCTGCTTCTGCACAGGGAAGACATCCCATCTTCACCGACTAAGTGCAGCCATATGCAAATAAAATATGCATATTGGTGATTACATATTTAATATACATTAACTATACATCTGGGTAATCTCGGAGACTGCAGCGGAATGAATATAAAACACGCTGTTTACTCATGCGCGCCAACTGGCTGCTGGGTAGCAACAGCCAGTTAATAGCTAATTAGATGTGCACACGTGTAGTATGAGTTAAAGAAACCTTAAAAGAAAAGAGCGTTAACAGCTAAATCTTATTGTGTTAACTTTAGATGAATCTTGTTTGTGTATGTTTGTGCATGCCAAAATTATTTACATATATCTATAATCATAGAGACTTTTTAAGTAAATCATTGGCAAGCTTACAAATGAGCTTTACTCCAGGACTTCAATAGGTATGTGCAGCTCAAGAAAATGAGTATTCTGGCGACCCAGTCAAAACCTGTGGTCAGCCTCCAAATTCAGCCACAACCCTGAACTGTTCCTCAGTTTTCCTCACTGTGTAGGAACAGTTTTGTTCAATAAGATTCATATAGTAAGATTTTTGTGAGGAATATGATCTCAGTAGGAGGAGAATTGAGGCTGCTTGATGATTTGAAGCAATGTGGTGGCCACAGACAGGTGTGCAAGTGAAGAGACTATCAGTGATACTGCAGGATACTGCTGATTGTCATATTATCTGGTGGTAAATACATTAGATGATTACCTAGGCAACCAGAGGCTGGTATGTCCACAAGCAATCAATCATCACCTCCAGTGAGGAGCGAATTGCTTGAAGCAAGGACTCTGAGATGCATCAAGTTAGTATAAAAGGCCAAAGGTTTACAGAGGTAAATCTAGAATAACAAATTATTCTCAATTCAAAGTTAATAAATCAATCAATCTGTTGTTCCCAGCAGAGTAACTGAGAAATTTAGACCTGCATTTTAGACTTGCTACTGTTATGTTGTGCGTGAACGGGAAATGTAAAATCGAGTGGTTTCTGAGCTTGTCCGTACATCTTAGTTAAACTAGCTTTACCATTCTTTTCAAGTTTTCTCTCGTGTGAGACTCATGCCTTATAAAGTGGAGTACGCCTTTTAAATATACAGCTAAAGAGATTTTTTAATTTGACTGAGTTGTGGTAGTACAGTTGGTTTTAAAGTCCAAACGTGTGCTCACCTTTGCCCTGGCAGAAGTCCAGCTGTAGGATGGTCTGTAGCAGCGAGTCGGTATTGAGAGTGAGGTCAAAGTCAGGGCCAACCTTTGGCTCCAGGGCCCCTTTAACCCACTGGTCTTGAGACGACGTCACTCGCTTGATCAGAGCATCTGAGATCTACACAAACACATACAGTGGGCAAGTTGAAGTTTGCAGACACAGTATAGATTCAGCAATGGTTTACTTGTAAGAAGTAAAGAATGAAGAAAACACTGGAAATGAGAACACATTCAATCAATATTTATATATTAGG